GTCCTATTACAGCCTGTCGAATAAGTCTCAGTCCATATTTTCAGAATGTCTTTATATTGATTGTGTGCACCACATAAGAAGCACTTGTCAGTGATTTTAATTGGTTTGCTATAACTATGGCAACTATATGTCCTAGATTTTCTAGGATGATCCTCATTTCAAGAACTGATGTAATTGTCTCTATAAGGACATAAATAATAGTCAGAGCATGTGCTCCAATTTTTAGCTCGCGTAACATGATCATGATATCTATACTCTATTTCAGCAGAGGTCATAGAATCTGAGTGCTCCACTGTGCAGCTTAAATGCTACTGAGCAGAGCTGGGAGAGGGCTGCGATGAACAACTCATTGATTAGCTTTGCTAGCTGGGGGCCTGAAACAGGGCTCTCCTCCCTGATTCCTCATCATGCCAGGTCATGTTCTTTCTGTGTGTGTCACTTCTTCTTTCACGTCTTTCCTGCCCTTCCAACTAGTATATCAGGGACAGTCAAGTGATGTGTGAAGGAAAGTGGTAGAGGGGGGGATCATCAGGATTGTGCCTTCTGCAACCTTTTGTTCAAAGTTGGGATTGAAAAACAGAGTATGTAGTGAGAGCTTTCTTCCTACCTCAAGGCTTCTGGAATTGTTTGTTAGGGTGATTTGGAAGTCCAGGTGGATTTTTTTTCAGTGGAGGGGCAGGGGGATTGGAGATTATTGGAATTTTAACAGTGAAAGCATTTGTTTGTTTGTCTGTGACATTAATTCCAGTGTTTCACGTGGTGGGGAGGCAAGAAATGGTCCAGGGTGAAGGGGTTTGAAGGTAATGCTGCTCGAAGGCCAAGCTAAGACTTATAAAGAATCAAATTACTGCTCGGTTCTCTGCTCTGCATCAAAGTAAACTGTTGATACTCATTCTTTGTAGAGTGCTGGTGTCTTGGCTGGAGAGGGAAGAAAATATGCTGCATCGTTGTTGTAGATATTTGAGTAGGCCTCACGGGATTAGGAAGATTCTTCAGTAAGGTTACCTGTGCTCCGGAGCTTAGGAAAATGGAACAGCTGAACCCCAGGAAGACGAGGTGCCTTGACAGAGCCTGCCATCATGAAAACTACAGTTGGAAGTTTCTGAATTCTAGGCAATTCCGGAAGCTTCTGGAGTTGTGGGTCTTCAGTCTGGTACTCAGTTACTTGTAAGACTATGCCAATGCTCGAAGGTCTGTTTCATTCTAGTCTCCTTTTCCATTGGCTTATTTTTCAGCACCTAGAAGCTCCTCACATTTTCTTTTCTTTCTTTTTGTTTTCCTCATAAAAGCACCCAAGTTTTCGCTTTATTAAATGATAAATTAATTTCCATCCCTTTTGGATAGCTATGCATTCCTCCACAGCCTCATAGGCATGTAATTTACATGTCATAAAGCTCATTCATTTTAAGTGTGCAATTCAATGAGTGTTGGTGTAGTTACAGAGTTGTGCAATTATCACTGTAATAGAATTTTATAACACTTTTATCACTCTCCAAAAGAAACCTTGTACCAACTAAAAGTCACTCCCCATCTCACCCTCTTCCTGCCCTTGGCAAGTCTAATCTACTTTCATTTTCTATAGATTTGCCCAATCTGAACATTTCTTTTAAATGGAATCACTGTGTCTGGTTGCTGCTGCAGCTTTTGTTTGCATAAGGTCCTTGAGGTTCATCCACATTCTAGCATATGTCAGTACTTTATTCCTTTTTATTGCTGAGTAATATTCCATTGTCTGGATGTACCACATTTTGTTTATACAGTCATCAGTTAATGGATATTCAAATTGTTTTTTATGCTATTATACATGAAATTATTTTCTAAGTTTAATTTTGGCATGTTAATTGCTAGTGTGTAAAAGTACAATTGATTCTTGTATGTTGATCCTGCATCTTGCTAAGCTTGTTTTTATTAGTTCTGATAGGTTTTTAGTGGATTTCTTGTTTTTTTTTCTGTTTATAACAACACATCATCTGTAGATAGAGATACTTTCACTTCTTTTTCAATGGGTGTCTTTTATTCTTCCTACAGTTTCTGCTTCCACCTATCTTTAGTTTGCTACGAAGCCTCATGTTTCTGAGTCGGTATCATAGCTTCTCTCTGCTATCTTTTTTTCTATGTTCTGAATTTTCAAGTTTAAATAGAAAAGGGAAAAGGACCTAGAGACTTTGATTGGCTTGTGTTAGCTATTACTTTTGTTTGGGCAAAGATTTGTATTCTAGCTCATAAATTTCTGGCTAATAAATGCCGCCCTTGAGTTAGAAGATCACTAAGAAGCTGTGGTCAGATAGAAAGGGAGACCACATTTTCTACATATTGCAAGACATTTTCCTTAGAAGAGGTTATAGGCATGGCCTGGCTTTGAAATTGATACAGGTAAAACAATATTGTTATATTAGGCATTTTCCCAAGAATAAGATATATCTTTTTTTATTCAGATTTTTTGTTGGTTGTTGGTTGTAATGGATTATGGATTCTTAAGTATTTTTAGTTATTTTATTTTTTATTGAGGTATAATTGACATATAACATTACAGTAGTTTCAGGTATACATATCATGAGTTCATACTTGTGTATATTGCAAAATGATCACCACAATAAATCTAGCCAACATCTGTCCCCATACATAGTTTCAATTTTTCTTCTTGCAGTGAGGACTTTCAAGATCCGCTATAGTTAAAAATATTGTATTGCATATCTAAAGTACTTTTAGATTACTGGATAAGACTACTTACATGTTTCTCTATCATAAAAAGTGAAGACACCACACTACAATTCATGATTAGCTTTCATTATACCTATTTGGTGGAATGAACACATTTAATATTATAAGGAAATAAATATATTTAAAATAACTAGTAGTTCCAACATCTCTGTAATCCCCAATTACTCTTTCTTTGTAATTGATTATTTTGGTAAGAATTTATTGAGCATCCGTTTTATATAGAACCTTCAATAAGTGCTATAATATTGGGATAATATTGGTGTTGTTTGTGGAGGGGAGGTCCCAAAGAAACAAAAGACATAATTTCTGGGATTTTCACTTCCCTGTAGAAGGAAGGTTAAAACATTGTAGAACTTGAGAATCTGTACAAAATAGCATGTGGTCTCAAAACTGCAAAGTAGCATAATACAATTTGCATACCTGTGTGTTGAGAAGAACAAAATGATGACATGCAATAAATTCGACGCTCTGCTACTGACCAGGAATACAGAGATGGAAAGGCATGGTCTCTGTCCTAAAGACACCTGGAGTGATAAATCAGCACATAATTGGAGCTCAAAACATCACTGCTTTTTTGCGGATACCTTTGGAATAAGAGGCTGCCATGCTGTGTTGTGGCTGGCTGCTTTTTCATGTTGAAAGATACTGAAGATAGTAGTGTGGACGAAAAAGGGACCACTTACTAAACTTGACAAGCTCAGGGGAGGCCTGCACGGTGGGTCTTACAAACTCAGAGGCCTCATGTAACCACATAGGATGGTCTGAGGGTAAAACTTCTTAACTAAAAGCAAATCATGGTGGATAGTCATGTCCTAGGCCAGTATCTTCCTTGACAAAGGTCAATCTTTAACTTAACTAAGCCTGTCTATTGTCTTTTGCATCTGGAATAACATACCTTTGGAATAATAGAGTAATTCCACCTTTTTTTCCAGACCACTCAGGGCACAATCTCCCATCAGAGCAGGAGACCCCAGAACCCCTCATTGTTAACTTGTTCCCGGCTTACCATCTCTGTGGGTTGCAAATGTTGTTAACTATCCTATATGCACCAATGAAAAGAAGTATGTATCTCTTCATTTTTCTCTGCACCCAATCCCAGTGATTTCCTGCTTGGCCTTCCCCTTCCTCCCTAATCTACCACTAATAAACTTCATATAACCCTCCTTACCCCTCCTCTTTTGATTGTAAAGTATAAAATAAACTTCAAAACCGCCATTCTCCAGAGCATTTTCTCACTGCGTTGAGATTTTGCTTCCTGGCAATCGTCATCCGTTTGGCTCAAATAAAGCCATAAAAATTCTTACAGGTTTGGACATTCCTTACGTTTCTTACCTTGACAGGAGCATCCTTAACCTAATTTCTAAAGAGAATGCATATGCTTCTATAAGACTAAGATCACATGGCTAAACTTACATGTCACAAAAAGAGTTAGCAAAAATGTTTTGTTTTTTTAAATGTGCATGTAGATAACTTAAAAATTATTTACTGAGTCTGGAAGAGATGAAATAGAAACCTTCAAAATGGATCTTCTCCACTTTGACGTAGTGTTAATTCCTCCTCTAATATACGCTCTCTTTGACAGTGACTGAAGTTTTCGCTGCCTCATTGGTCTGACGTCCTAACTGGTTTATGTAACTGAAGTGGAAGGAGACACAGAAGCGTGACCTGCATCCTTGGTGCAAATAACTTATTCACTCTGTTTTCTTATATGCAGACTTGAAATCCATAACATTTAAGATTTTACTTTACAAACATAAATAAAACAGTACACAGTTTATGAGACAAAGTCATAGGCCAAATATAGCGTTTTTGTTTTTTTTTGTTTTTTTCTGGGGGCTGTTTACAAAATAAGAAATGCTAAATTTTGCCTTAGGGATTTGCTTAAGGGAATCTAGAAAAGGCTCCCATCGGAGAGTTCATCTCTTTATTAAACTGTGCGTTCCTTTAGGAGAGAGACTGTATTTTTCTACTCGCTAGCATAAATTTCTAGAATACTATCTTTAAAGCACGTTTTCTTAGATGAATGAATGAACTTCCCGGGAAGTTGCCGGGTTAGAAGCCTGTGGAGCCGTGAAGACCACAACTCCCAGAATGCCGTGCTCCCCTTGAGCTCAACTGGTTTTGGAGAGTATGTCCCAGCGCCCTTGGTGCCAGGTCGAGACTACAATTCCCACTATACCCAGGGGCTCCGGAAACCTTGTCAAACACCACCTGTTGCCATAGCATCCGGGTCTGGAAGAACCAATCAGGGTGCCCCTGCCGAGTAGAGGCGGGCCGTTCTTATCTCCCACCAACCGGAGGCATTTTGCTGTGGAGCGTGACCGGAGGAGGCGGGAGCTAAGCCCCGGCGCCTTCTCCTTGCTTCTTGGGGTCGTGGCCTTGCTCCCGCCGTGCAAGGTAAGCGTCCGGGTACGTCCACGCGCGTGGGTGCGCGTGTGGCCTGGAGCGCTCGTGGGTCCGCGCCAGGACTCCGCGGGGACAGAAGCAGCCATGGGCGGAACCTCCAGCACCCGCCGGGTCACCTTCGAGGCGGACGAGAATGAGAACATCACCGTGGTGAAGGGCATCCGGGTGAGTGACAGTGGGCGGGCGGAGGGCCGGCGCTCGAACTTGGACCCCAAACCTCCGACCTTCCCCGGACCCGCTCAGCCCGCTTTCCCCCGTCCCGGCTCCCAGTGTTGTTCAGCCCGAAGCCGAATTTTCTGCAAAGAAGCTTGAAGTTTCAAGACTTGGGACATTCATTCAGAGCTGTTTCCTGGTTGGGTGGCAAGTGCTGAGCACGGCCGGGCGGTGGGGGGTGTGTGTGCCGGGTTGATTAGATCCTCCAGGGGCTCAGAGTGCAGTGAGGCTGGTGTTGACTGTATTGCTCACTGGTTGTGGCACTTTATTTGAAATCCCCGCCTCACCGTACCCGTCTGTGAAATGGGGTTTGTCCTACTCCTCCTGTGTTCAGGACCCAGACCCTGCTTTTGCACTGCCCGCATCACCTTTTTTGGGGTGCAGTGGCATCTTAAGGAACCCTTTATCTGTTTCCTGTCATTTAGTACTCTTTATCTTATGCCACCCATTCCCCCAACAGACACAGACACCCACCCACGCACCCATCCATCCATCCACCGTAGGCTTTTCTGGCCTAAGGTGACTTCTGGCTTCTCCCTCCTTCAGTTTCACTTGACATCTCATCTTTCCCAGGCGCCTCCTCTATGGCCTGGGTGCCCCAAGTTTTGGACTAGGCCCAGTTGTTTCAGGACTGGTGCCTGCCAGCCTGATAGGGCTTGAGATAGGATTGCAGTTTTTCAGTCCACTAGAAATAATGCAGCCAGTTCCCGCCAAGACATTGTAGAGAATTTTTAAATGACCCCTGCCATGTGCTTGATACGTAAACTGAAAACTTGATTTTTCTCCAGGGTGTCAGTTTCCCAGCACTAACTTCATTAACACACTCTCCGCTGCACCTGAATTTGGAGCCACACATTTTTAGAAGGATGCCTGAATCTAGTAAATGAAGTACTTTGACTTCAGAAAGTTTTATAATAGTTTTAATTTTTCTTCCTCTGTTACTACACGACCAGCATAAGTGAATTACATGTGTAAATTATTTTTAAGCATTTGTTACTAGGAAATAAAACTTCTTAAATACTTAAAAGTGTTTAAAAACTTTTTACTCTGAAACTGTTACCTTGAGAAGAATTTATTAAAGTTTTTTTTTACAGAAACTCAGACTGTTGAACTCAGTTTTTGGTCTGTGACCAGCATTTCTTTATATCATATTAATTAATGGTATTACCACATTTTTATTAGATGTCAGAGGCTGCATTCTTTGCACTGTTGTGGTTCAGGTGGTCCTCTTTGGAGTAAAATAAAAATTATTCCAGAGATTTGTTTAATCTTGCCTTGAAGTGTTCCAAACTGGAGGGTGACAAAGAAAGAACAGTAAAGAAAAGCAAAATAAGTTTTGGGTGAGAAGACATTGGGTAGAAAATGCATAAATCCATGTTCTCATGCTCTCTTGAAGACACAGCAGTGACAGCAAACAAAATTAAAAGAGCATTTGGCCACAGCACGGAGATTCATATAAAATATTAGATAAGGTTAAGTAGGATAATAGGGATAGGTATTAGATTAAAATGGGAAGATTGGCTAAAAAAACATTTTTTATTTTTTACAAAAGAAGCTATGTGCTTTAGGCACTCAGGTTAATGAAGGGAGTCTCTTTTTTTTTCTTTCTCTCAGAGTACAAGTTATAGTTCAAGCACACACCATGCTCAATTTGACCTCTGTACTTTGCTTTTCTTCAGTATATACCCTTCACCTGGAATGCCCTGTTGCTTCAAATCCTTTTTTCAAGGATGATTTGCAATTTCTCTGAACTTGTTTTCTCATCTGCAAAATGATAGGACTTGAGTACATCACTAAGATCTCTAATCTTTTTCAGTCTGAAATTCTGTGAGTCTAGTGGCACCATATGTTTCTTGTAGCCATGATCAGCCCATTGCAGTTTCCTCTAAGTATGGCATGCTGTTGAATTGTTGAGTACTCAGGGGTCACTGTGACTTTTTCGAGGTCTTGGTTACACCAACTTGGAGTTAAATATACCTCAGTTTAAATCTCGGATTAGGCATTTACCAGTCTGCGACCTTGGACCAGTCACTTCTCTGATCATATTTCCTTATCCTGAACCAGCATTTCTCGTCTGTGGTAAGAAGATGAGGTAAGGTATTTAGAGCACGTGGCACATTGTAGGTTTTTAATAAAAGGCAGCTGTTATATAGGGTTCTTTCCACGTCTAAATTTTCTAAGATTCTTTGGCAGTATTGTGTGGTCTAGTGGAAAGAGCGTGTGCTTCAGAACCAGGCAGACCTGGGTTTGGTCCTAGTTCTGCCTCACTTTACTGTGTGGCCCTAGACAAGCCACTTTCAATGTGTTTCCCTGTTCAGTATATCTGGATAATGCAGCCTAATTGTGGTACTTAGATATCCAGCACTACTTGTGAGAATTTGACAATGTATGTAAGCATCTGGCACAGTGCCTAGTACTTAGCGTTTAGTACTTACACAAGTAGCTATTATGAGAGCTGTTCCAGGGAATGGATAAGTAAACTTACATGAACTTAAAAATAATAGATAAAAATGAGAATATATTGTGCTCCCGTAGGCATACCTGAAGAGGTGTGGACTGGGAAATGGGAGTCCTGAGTTCTTCAACTGATTGCCTGTGTGATTTTTGTCTAGGTATTTTTTGATTTTTCAGCTAATTTTTGTATTGTACTTAGCTTGAAACAGTCATCTCCTTTCCCTCGGAGGTGTGGGAAGGAAGGATTAGCAACACTGTTGGTATCCTAAGTGAGCCACTGTTTTTAGCTCAGGTGATTGAAACATGGTGCTGATGAGGCCCAAACTTCATGCTGAATTGCAGATAGGTTAGTTCAACTTGACTGAAGAAAACGTTCCAAATTTGCCCAGTTGTCTAACATTCATGTCATCACTCATAAGAAATAAGAGCGTACCAACAGTTCAACAAGTCTCAATCACTGCTGGAAAACCAATTCTGTGTTCCACTGATATACAAAGAGTAACATTTAGTAAGCAACATGAGGCTTTTGGTAAGAGAGAGAGAGAAAAGAGGGGGGAGGGAGAGAGAAACATCGATCAGTTGCCTCCCGCATGCCCACTGCCTGGAGACTGAACCCGAAACCTGGGCGTGTGCCCTGACTGGGGATCGAACCGGTGACCTTTTGATGCATGGGACAACGCTCAACCAACTGGGCCACACCGGCCAGGGCTAGGCTGTGTTTATTAATAGATCATACTTTTCCAGAATTTTCTTGCTTCAATAACTAGCAGTTAAAGGATCTACTTACAATTTTAAGTATAAAGTTTCTTCTCACCTACGAGGTGTTATTTTCATGGTATTTATGAGGTTTTGTTCTTTTTCTTAATCCTTCACAATTAATAGCTTTTCCCACACTTCCATAAAATAACCCGTATTCTTATACCTGATTCCAACTTTGAATCTGAAATAACTTATGGGTTAGATGAAAGGCCACACTCTTGCCTTGCCCTCCTCTCCAAGTCTAAAATAAACTTCTTGTGATAGAAATACCAAGCGTTTTTATTATTCATAGTGCATGTGCTTAATAGGATTTTTTTTGAGTACCTACTGGGCCTACTTGGCAAGTATGCCTTCTACTTAGTCTTTCACAAGGTTATCTGAAACATCAAAGCTGTAAGTGAACTCTTCCAGAGCAAATGTTAACTTCAATGAGTATCATTTTCAAACTAGTATTTATCATGCTTTCCAGGCAGAAACTAATCTCTGCAACTGGTCCTGGTTACTTACATGGAACACCACTAGTGCTTTGGGAAGCACTGGCAGTCGAGAGCCTGGAAATGAAGAGAGTATTTAATGTGGGACGTTGTTGAGGCTCCTGGAGAGAGTACATTAATAGAAGCTCCAAATCCAGTCAGTCATTGGGAGCGTTAAGAGACGTCCTGGTAATCAGTTAACTGGTAGGTGATTGGTCCCTTCCCATGAGTCTCTTGGGCATAGTACCAGGTTCTGCTTTCTGGGTTTTATATAGGCAATAGAAGTTCATGTTTTCACTAATAACAAATATAAAGAAATACAATTTACAAACTACAAACATAAGCTAAAAATTACATTATATATACGACATTCCCCACTCCTCCCATGGGTATATAAACAAGTATTTGGGAATAATTTCTTGCAAATAATAATGGAAATTTTTGGAGCCTGTGTCTTAAAATGGTAATTGTAAAGGAAACCAGTATTCTCACAGAAAATGACCTATGCTACATGGAAGGAAGACCAAGTGAGAAAAATGGGTCTGAGTCCTTTAATCAGTTCGATAAAACACATCTGGAAGAAGATGAGTTTAACTATTATGGAGGTGAGCGTCTGAATTGTCTCTGTCCCATGTGTTTCTAACTCTGCATCTTAGGGAATGGCACCTTAAAAGGAGTTCTCGTTCTCCTTTTACTCTGTTCCTTGGAGGTAGAAATACTTTATTTTGTCCATCTCACCCTTTCTCCTGTTTCTGAGAAGATACTGGGTTCTGAGTTGGGGGGTGGTGTATTTGTGCTAATTTTAGGTAAGACCAGCCAAGGTGGGTGGGAAGAGATGGGCGGGGAGACTAGAAGACGACACACATCTTTTCCTCTTTGGAGCACATGCTGGTGTGGTGAGTAGTACAAACCCCAAATCGGCCAGCCTCGTTTACTTCAGTTTGTTGTTAGGAGCAATAGAGCCCAGGATGGGAAATCAGAGTCGGCAGACTGAGTTCGGCTATGCTGGCAGGCCTGCTTCTCTTGGTTCTCCCTATACTGTGGTGCCTCGGTTTTTTAATGTGATCCGTTCCTGAAGCCCATTCGAGTTCTGAAACGTTCGGGAACCGAGGGATCCACAGCCCACTGCTGGGCCTCAGGATCTTGCCCTCAGCGGAAGCGGCGGGGCATGTTTGCCTTCAGAGGCGTGTTTGAAAACCAAGGCATTTACTTCTGGGTTTATGGGGTTCGTAACCTGAAATGCTCATCAACGGAGATGTTTGAAAA